CTAGTGAGCTAACAGCAAAATGTAGCATAAACGTCTAATTACGACTTGAGTAATTTTTACACTAACATGATGCAGAGGTTTTTCAGTGATACTAGGTAAACGGTGTGGGGATACCTTCTCCCCAGCACATAAAAAACAGAGACCAGCACCAAGCAAATTGGTCAGTCCCGTGCCTAAAGTCAAACCAGACTTTTCCTCACTGATACCACAGACAGAAGGGGTCCTTGTTCCATTAGAAGCCTTGCATGAGGGGCAGGTATGAGTCTAGGTCCGGCCCACAGCCCTCCCCCTTACATGCATGGGTGGATTAACCTCTCTGGGGGGCCTAGGCTGACATGAGAAGCTTTTTGGAGCTCAAAGAGAAATGAGAGAGAAGTAAGAATGATGCAACATCAATAGAGAACGGGGGGGTTGCGGCCAATCAAATTAGCCAGCTGGAGGCGCTATCGCACCAGCGGATCAATCACCCAGATATATGCTTAGCCATGCCGTGTTTTCCAAGGCGGGTCCCCAGTTCTGACAGCCGGAGCTGTTTCTTTCGCCGGAACCCCAGGCTGTCCCCTCGCATAGCCTGTGCATTAATCCACCCCTGCCCATGGGTCTCAATCCTTCATGAAAGGCAGCAAACTCAGAATCTTATGGCAAAGACACTCAAAACATACCATCATGAAATACCTGTTTGCTGAAGCTGGAAGACCTACATGGAGATACCACAGGAGATACCGGCTGTGTGTTTACTCCGGCTTTTCAATGGTCTTGTAAAGGAATTTGAAATATTAAAAACATCAGTGAGCATAGAAGAGGCAGCGCGTGCAGCAGAAAGGTGATCAAATAAACCTCAGACAGTGGTGCAGACGCGTGGATCCAGAGCAGCCAGGGAGGAGCTCCCTTGTAAGGAGCTTGGTGGTGCCTGCCTGCCGCACAGGGAGGCTCAGATGCCTGTTACTCAGCAGGGACCCTAATCCCTGCACTGCCTTCACAGGGTGATCGAATGACTCCTGTGTAGCTCCCTAGTCTGCTGTGGGAGCCAGATCGGGTGCGGGGGGGTGCATGTTTTGGTCATAGGTACATCATTACTTATTGACTCCTGCTGCACCGAAAGTGATTTTCACAGCTTGGAGATGCTTCAGACGTGATCTATGGCACATGCATCGCTCAAGGGTGTAATAGCAGGATCCTCTAGGGCTTGGGAAACTCACGCTTAGCCTGTTTCTTCCAGAGGTGTGCACCAGGGACTACAGGACAGTGTCCTAGGGGTCCTGAATGGAACTCATAGAGCCAAGTGCTCCACCTAGTGGTGAGGCCTTATGTCTACGCCTCATGCTGTGTCAGGTCACTGGTAGATGTTTCATATTTCGCAGAAATCTCTTCTGTTTCTGCGCAGAACCTGCAATCAGGTTGAAGCATCTGCTGAGTGTTTGTGAGCACTAACTTCAGCTCTGCAAACGGACTTCTCCTTCACCTCTTTCTCAGTTTTCACCGTCACGTTTTTTAACGAGCTGCGATACGGCCAAACCCAGTCGAGTGTGTTGAGGTGGGGTTATGGGTAAATAAATGTCCCCCAGGGGAACCCTAACGGCCATGGGCTGTTGCTAGGATACAAGGTGGTCCCCCAGTGGGCCCAGACCCAAGGCCTCTGCTTAGATACTGTCACCCAGGCTCCTCGCCCCTCACACACAAGGACATCTGAAGGTACACAAGCACTCAAGCTACAGCTCCTTTGCCCACATGTACACCTCAACAACAAAAAGCATACACACTCCTCCGCACGCACATATGGCCTGATATCTTGAGCCTCGCAGAGAGCTGCACGTATTAAATGGATTTGTGAAAAATCAGGAACGGTGCCGGATTTTCGTTTGAAGATAAAGGCTCTCACCTTGGTGTCAGGTTCCTCAGCATTAAAATAGAGCGCGTGGAACAGAAGGTCCGAAATGAATTTCAGCCACCCCTCTAAGGGGGGCAGGTGATCCATCCCACCTCTCCAGTTGCCTGGAAACCAGATTATATTGGGAGGCAGTCAGTAACTCATGCTGACAGCGTTCTGCTTGTTAGCAAGGAGATTAGCGGGCGGCCGGAAGGAGTTGCCTTTCGTCGGGAGGCCGAGACTCTCTGCTACACCAGCAGGACCACCAGAGCCCTCTGGGGCAGAATGCTGTCTGCTGGAGCTTTGGTCTTGGTGGACAGGTGTATCCCAACCCTACCATGGCTGCCTCCTGCCCCTGCCGACCCCGTCTGCTCCTCACACGGTGTTCTCACACATGAACTCAGGGAGCGTGAAGCGTGACTATTCCAGCTCTGAGACTTTCTCAGACTCCGGAAGGGGGGAACGCTGCGGTTTCTAAGCTGCACTTACCGTAGGTCATGAATTATTTAAGGAAAAGCTTAAGTGTATTTGAAAAGGCAAAAAAAAAATGGGTCAGGAAGATGGAGGACGTGGGTGTGTAGCCCAGACCCTGCCGTAGTAAACGTTTAGAGGCAGAATGGGGCTGTAGGACACTGAAATGACTTCAGCATTTATTTGTGGTTTTATTTACATTATTATCTACCTCCTAAATCCACTTATCCGTTACACAGCCGCTATGAGCCATCAGCCAATCCCAGGAAGCACAGGGCACAAAGCAAGGGATTACTTCCTGTTACACTTAGCCATGTAGAGAGTCCAGTTAATCTAACCTCATGGTTTTGGACTGCGGGGGGGAGGGGGAAGCTGGAGTGCAACGTGGCAGTTATAAGGACGCCTGCATGAATAAGCAGAGGAAATGCACGCTGCATTTTCACAATGGGTACAAGATTCAAAGCTCTGGAGGTGTCAGGCAACAATGCTAATCGCTAATCGCCATCATGGTGCCCTTGCTAATTCCCTAATTATTTAATATAATCATTGTTACTTTTCATACTAATTTGAGATTTGTATTTGAAGTGTATGAGGTTGAGGTCACCACAGTGAAATCATGCATTTTGGCCTGTGTGTCTTGCTTGACTAATTTCAGTTGATTAAAGGGTGTCGTTCAGACACGTCTTCATCTCTGCTGCCCACTCAGGTGTGAATGATTTCCAACCACCACCTGGTGCTGCTCTGTTCCGGAGATGGATTTAATTAATCCCTGCAAGCATGGTATTACTGTGATTGTAAAAGGCCCAAAATGGCAGACCATAGGGGGCTGTGTGTCAGTGGTGTACTCGAGTACTCGATTTTCATACCTAAGTAAAAGTACAGATACCACACCAAAATGTAGTCATCCAGTAAAACACTACTCAAGTAAAAGTTAAAAATTAGCCAGGGTCGCTAACTTGGTCAGCTAGCTGGAGTTAGATTTTCAGTCTGAGACAAATCTGCACACGCATTTACATGTATGCAACAGCTATATTATTTTGTAAACAGTCTGTCCGGTTTCAAACTACCCCGTTGTGTAATTTTAGGTTTATAATGGAATAATATAGATTTGCTGTAAGATTTCTTGTATGAGCGTGAGAGGCTTAAAGCGAGAGTGTCAGACCCAATGCGAGCGAGTTGGCAACTCTGAATACCTTTTTCTAAAAGAAGTAAAAAGTATTATATATTCAAACCTGTTGTTCTTACAGAAAACCAACCCATCCTTTGAAAATTCACTCAAGACAGATTTGAATATACAGTATCATTGTAAGTTATAGTACAACACAAGAAGGAAAACTGAGTCGCATATTTTTTTCATTAATAGATGATGGTGAAATTTGCCAAATTTGCTTGTGCAGATTAGCAAATTCACATTTTTATTTTGTGGGAAATGAAAGATCAAACTATGGGAAATATGGATTATAAATATTTTGCAGGCTGGTACTTTTTGCAGGCCGGTAAACATCTTATATGTGGTGAATGAGATGATGAAAACCTTCATCATGACTGACCATGACCGCCAATGACTGACCATGACCGTCAATGACTGACCATGAACATCAATAACTGATCATCCAGTGCAGCTACTGTATTATTATTTCAGTAGCAGCTCTAGTGCTGATAGCTTTGAATATTGATAAAGCTTAAATATCAGATGGCAATTTCAGTATGTTAACCGATATATCGTGCATCTCTACATATTGTTTGTTCCATCTTCATTTTCATGAGAGAAAATTGCAATCTTCATCCTAAGTGGAAAAAAATTGATTCATATTGTACCCAGAATCAAGGAGACCTATGCAATAAGCTGCATGCAATGCTGTTTTGTTGGGGAGGGTCATGCAGAATATTTGACTCAGAAATGTAGGGAAGTTAAAGTATAAGTTGCAGCAATTTAAAATCCTTAAGGAAAGTAAAGTCTGGAAAACAACTTACTTAAGTACAGAAACAAGGTATTTGTACTTTGTTCATTTACACCTCCACTGCATATTCCCTCTAATGGAGATGTCAGGAATATTCATGGCTGGATCAGATTTACTGATAGCTTTGCTTTGAAACCCACAGTGGGTGGGATCATCATGCCATTGGTCACTGACAGGTTTAAGCCGCTTCTCATTGACTCCCATCAGCAGACAGCAGACAGTGGGTGACTCAGGATAAATGGCACCCAATGTGCATTTTGATGCCTTATTTTTCCCATACTTCCAATTTTCAGCTAAAGTGAAAGCTTTGGTTTTCATTCACCCTCTCTTTGCCCTCTCACTACATTCATTAATTAGGCAGAATTCTCATCTGAACTTATTAGACGGTAATTAAAAATACATGTGATTTGATGCCTGGAAGTTCAGCATGTAAGGTAGAGCACATCCCAGACAGGAAAATGTGGCAGTGTCACTTAAATTAAATTAGTATTGCATTTCCAACGCATCGTGGCACAAGAAAAATCAGATACGGGCAAGTCTGACTAGACTTCCACTGATGCCAATGCAGACTAGAGCTGAACTCATTAATGGTGATTCTGATCTCGCTCCTTTGCTTCCACTCCCATTTTCCACTCACTCTGGAGGAGGCTCTGGGTGGGGATCTACGTTTATTATTGTTTCTGCTGTGTTCCGTGCTGCAGAGCTGCCTTTGAGCCCAGACGCCGTGGCCCCAGTGAGATGACCCCCCAGGCCTTCTGAGGTAGGAACCCAGGACCTGCATTCCAAGAACCTCTAATAACATGCCTGATTCCACATGAGGAACATCATGCACATTCCTGTGATGAAGACGACGACATGGTTACTGGCATAGATGTACATTCTAGGCCCTATTCTTGATCTCCGAAGAATGTTGGGTTTTTCCTGAATCGGGGTCCTGTGTAATTATTTGAAGTCTGACTCTTTGTGTTCGCACTGTACTTGTTGTCCCAGTTTACCAGTCACAGTGTACCTGTAGTCCAGTGTCTGCTCCCATGTCTGCTGTGTTTGTTGCGTCTCTTATCACTGGCTGGTGCTGAGGTTGGTCAGTGCGTGTGGAGACGTTACCTCTCACTCGGTATACATGACATCATGTGACCTCATCACGTCTGCCTGCGGCCGCCTGGAGGAGACACATTGATGAGGGGCCAGTGAACCGCAGGTTCTGTTTCCAAAAAGCACGAGCTAAATCTCTCTGCTAAGCTGTTTGTTCTTTCTTCTTTCATGTCTGGGACCAAGCTGACTAAATTTCTGTTTCCACAGTTTTAACGATTTGCTTCCCCTCTCTCTTTCTGTCTTTTTCTGTCTCTCTCCCGTAGAGAAAATAACACACACACCCAGCACTCGCAAAAGCAAGATCTCTGCTTTTTGTTTTCCCGTAGAACGATGCTGAAGGTAACCACTTGATTGGCCGGGGCCATGGCCGCACCCCAGCATTTCCAAACTCCTATCAGACATCGCTCACTGCCTTTTGGGCATTTAGAGGGATGTGACATCTTCTAGGGTTTGCTGACACTGTGCTTGGATGGTCTGTCTGTTTAAGGATAGGCCATGTTGACTGAATCACGCCAAACCACTAAGCGTTTTCAGATTACATGTTATGAAAAGCGCTGAAAATACTTTGCTCTTGTCTTTGTGTATGTGTGTCTTTGTGTTGTGCTTTTGCCTGATGCCTTTGTTTTGTGTTGTTTAGTCTAACGTGTTTTGTAGGTTTTCTTTTTTGTTTTGGTTGTTTAATTTTTCTCAATGATCGGAAGTGATGATGTTTCCTGATCTTTCTGGGTTTACATATTGCCACGAAACAGTGTACTTGGAGTTCAGTTAGCTTGGTTCTTCGTAGCTGTTTGCTGTGTTCGCCCATAGACCTTGACCCCTGACCTCTGTTCCTGAACAGCAACACTCTGACACGGCCCCAGGAAGCGTTTCTTCCTCACGCGGTCCCAGTCTCCCTGGATCACCGGCTATCTCCATCGTGGTGAGTCCACTGACGTCAATGCCTAAGTGGTCCAATGTGCTGACCAGGATGTTACATCAATAACATGATACCATTTAGCAATTTGAAGACAGACATTTATTATAAATGAATTACTGTATGTTGATGATGGCAATTATATTTTAATCACCCATGACAGAGATCATGCAGGATTGGTTCCATTAGGGTTAGAGTCTCTCAGTCCTTCCCATTTATATCTGAATACCATGATCTTCCTCTGGGCCCCTGCTCTCACCCTGGATGCTCACACATCTTAAGCTATTGGTCCTCACAATTCCTGCCTCCCACCTTCTCCTTCCAGGCAAGAATGGACAATCAAGTCATAGGTTACAAGGACCTGGCAGCGATTCCAAAGGACAAAGCCATCCTGGAGGTTGAGCGGCCAGACCTAATGACCTACGAGCCCCACTTCAGCTTCTCTGCACTGGACCGGACCGATGTGTCTCGGAGCCGGGAGGTCAGTATGCACAGTCACAGCCCTGACGCTGGGCTTCTCACTCTAACTGCTCCAGTTATAGCAGTTTCATGCATGCATGCTGCTTCACCTTGTCGGACAACGTTTTGAGTCTGAACCCAACTCTGATTTCTTTTTTGCTCTTTCTAGAGGTCCATGTCGCCCCACTCCATCTCACCCCCGCCCTCTCCTGAGGTGAGATTGATGGCCTCAATATGCTCCCAGCCCACAGCTCCCCCTACTGCCCCCTAATCTGGAGAAGTCGTCTCCACTAGGGGGAGCTCTTCATTCTAGCTCTCTTGTTGTGTGTGTGGGTTCAGATTAGAGGTGTTCTCGGGTAATGTTTACGTAAGTAGAGGGGCTCATTTAGGAGGAGAATATATAGACTGTATGCAGTATGGATGGACGCTACCACTTATTTTCTTTTCAATCCAACACCGAGTAATGCCATTTAATACTGATACCGAAATTTGATGCCAGGCCAACCCATTTCGGGAATTTAATTTGGCTGGTGGGAGGGGGGTGCTGACAATGAAATTTGGCGAGTGGTCCAGGGCTCTGAAAGTGTTCCTGTTTCTCCCTTCTGATGGGTGGCCCTGTCTGGTAGCAGTTTATGTCCTATAACCATATTATTCAAATCACGGTCCTCGAGGTCCAAGCACTGCTGGTTTTCCATCCTTCCTTTACCTGTGAGCCAGGTGTGAAGCCTCTGACCAATCAGAATCAGTAATTATTAGACTAGCTACCTGGGAGAACTGAAAACAAGGCCTGGATTTGGAATCGAGGTCCAAATTTGAAGAACCCCATCCTATAATATAAACATTTAATTAACCCCGTCAAATCAATATTTTAACGTTATGATCAATTCTTAAAATTTACCATTCAGATCAAAAGAATTGATATTTCAGTATCAATCCGCACATGCTTGGAGTGCAGTCCCAATGTGAATCCATGCTCATTTAGATGTCTACAAAGGAATCTTGTAGATATACAGAGGGCTTGTTAAAAAAAGAGCAACACTTCAATAACAATAGTACATTGTATATGTACTTTTGATGCACTCTTCAACCTTAAAGTACTTTGCATATTGAAAAACATTAGAAAAAAAATGCATACCTTAAAGATATAATGCATCCCCTCTAGGGTGCCTCATGCCTTATGCATCCTGAGACAGATTCCAGGATTACCCCAACCCTGCTATAAGTGGTTATAGAAGGTAGTTGAATGGAGAGATGTATAATAAAATATTTATATAATATTACAGATATACTGTACGTGTATCAAAAGCATTTTTACACTAGGAAGATAATGACAAAACAGCTGTAACTGATGCCAGCTGAGCTTAGACCAGTTGTACACGCTCTGTGTTTCAACCAGTAGATTTAGTAATCGGTCATTGTTTGACATGCTACACCATTTAAATGGCTTCCCTGAGCTTTTATTACCATCAGGAAGAAGGTCACTCAGACATTTTGCTGGAGTGAGTGAGGCCGGAGGTTCGCAGTGCATTGTGGGAAGCCGGCCATATTGATTTACTGTACATCTGCTCATCTGTCCTGGGCAGAGAGACCTCAAATCGCTTATCAAAACACAAAACTCACGCCGAGGCCCCGTCCATCCGGACACGTGCCTCCTTTGGTTCCTCTGCTACCCGAAGGCTTATTAATAATTAATTATGGTCAAAGGAGGAAATGGCTGGTGCTGAGATACAAGCACAGGAGCCCGTCCTCAAACAGCCTCGTCGAAGCGCAGCCTTGTGCACGTGCCCTTGGGAAATGGGGACCCTCTTGTGCACAAATCCAGAACTATTTATTTACTTTAAAAAATCTAAAAAGTATCCTCAATTTGCAAGAATCCATACAATTAATGAATAAAAAAAAAAACATCAATTAATCAATCAATTAATTAATTAATCGATCAACCAGTACGGATTTTGGCAGGCGAAGATCAGTGTTAGATCCGTCTACGTCTTATTGACAGCTAAGGCCCGGTTAGCCGCTAATGAGAAAGGCTGACAGCCTGATGGTAAACCAGACCCCCCAGCAGTGGGGGACTGACAGCTGTTCGTTCGGCACTCGCTGCTTGCTGGTTTTGCACACAGCACTTCAGGTTAGACTTCCTCCTTGGTTTAGTGTGTGACCCTGCTAACGTGATTCCCCCCCCCCCCCCCCATCAATGTCAGCATGTATCTGCATGCAAGGAGTCCAAGGAGTGGGTGGAGGAGGGATCTCCAGGGGGCTCTTTGGCGGGATCTACAACCCAGATCCGCAAAGTAAGCGCCACCAAAGCCCCCCCGCAGCATTTCCACAGGCCAGGTAAACTCCGCCCACCTGCTGTGACATCAGAGCTCAGCTGGTGCTCATTGGCCCCCACCTGGCATATAATGCCCAATGTTACAGAGACCCCGCATTTTCATTCATGCTCCGCCTCTCTTTTCTCTCCCCGTCTTGTTCTTTCCAGATAACGGTACAAACTTATACAAGAAGCCCCCTATTTACAAGCATGGTAAAGGCTTTTTTTTCTGTGATTTTTAGACTAGCTGACCAATTAGATTAATGAATATGATAATGAATACGTGCATCCGCACATTGAAGCCGCCTCACCCTGCAGATGTTTCCGCTACAGCCGCACACGGCAAGCACATGGAGGACACCATCATCGAGTCATCCAAGTTCCCTGCTGCCCAACCTCCTGACCCCAACCAGCCCTCCAAGATCGAGACGGAATACTGGCCCTGCCCCCCCTCACTGGCTGCTATCGGTAGACCTGCACATTTTCATATCCTCAACCGACGCACTTGTACACCACACATTCACTTGGACCATCTACGGTCAGATGCTGGAGGGGGGGGGTTTACTGGAACAGCCCAGTCATGCCGCTAAGGGACAGAGGGAGTTAGGGGGAACGGCAGGCTGGGAACGGCTCCCTCATCCAGGCTTGTTTCTCCTTTGCCACAGAGACGGAGTGGAGAAGAAAGAAGGTTGTGGAAGGCACAACTGAGGAGGAGGAAGATGAGGACAACCCGATGGAGATGGAAAGGAGAAAGAAGCAAGAAGAGGAGCTTAGCAAGGTGAGCATGGCCACTAGGGGGCCTGGCCTGGTATAGCAACAGTAGGTAGGTTAGCGTTAGCCTGGATGGCTAGCGGGTGTGATTGCTCTTCTCTGTCAAACACCCAGTGGCAGTGATTGAGGTGCTAAATCCAGCCCACTACGGGTTTCCACAGCACCAAAGCCGTCTTGATGTATCGATCGTCTATAGGAAGCTGGGCCTGGTGTGCTGACATACATGCAACATGTCTTTCAGATCCAGTCCAACCTAGGAAGGCTGATCCTGAAGGAGGAAAAGGAGAAGGTGGGCCCCATCCGCAGAAAAACCCGCTCGCTGCCCGATAGGACACCTGCAGCAGGAGGTGAGCAGGCGAGCGAGTGCGTGAGTGTGTGTGCATGCGTGTGTATATGCGTGTGTGCATGCGTGTGTGCATGACGTCTGTTCATGTATCTGAGGAGACTTGCTTTTCACGTAAGTATTCATCTCACCTTTTCCTGGTTTGGGATCATCAATTACTTGAACATCAAAGGGATGCCCCTTGGAGTAAAGCTTTACCTCTCTGGAATGTGTGTTTCTATGCGTTGTACATGAGCGGAGGAACAGCCACAGACACGGTAGCAACAGGACAGTCTTGGAGGAAAGATGCCACCTAACAGCAGGGCTAGAACCCTCCGGATAGACACACACAACCTGTCCTCTGTGTGACTCTGCAGGCTAAACCTTTGCACTCGTGAACGGAAGCTTGCCGGTTCCTGTCCTGTGATCATATCACTCCTGGCCCCCCAGCAAGGGCCCTGAGCATCTCCGGGGGGGCCGGATAAATGACGAATCCTGTGCTCCGTCTCCAAACTCTTGTTGTAAAGGATATTAGCAGTCAGACATGAAGATAAGCTCACATCTTTGATCCTTCCATACGGTGTGTGAAGAGGGCAAGGCCTCTGAAGACCTCTTGTGGTCAGACCCAGTCAGTGCACCTTTGTAATATTCACATTGTTTCTTACCTGCAGAAGGGAAATACTCATTTTGGGCGCTCAGACAAAAACGTGCATATATAACATACTATCCAGATTAAAATATATCATCTAATCAATAATGCCGTATCTTGTAATTTTATGTTTTATTTAAACAATTGGATTATATAAAGATGTGTCATGTAATTGTTTATATACAAATAGCTCATGTGTTTCAGACAATATGACATTGCTTATTTGGTGGACAGTAGTACAGTCATTGCTCAGAGGGTTTAGTTTTCTAAATAAGCTTATTGTTTGTAATTCCCTCCTGTTCATCTTCTAGCTGTGTATCCTGCTCAGTGTGATGGAGGGACTGGAACTTATCCCAGGCTGTCTGAAATTTCTGAATGCAAACATTTTTTACAATTCCTTTAACATTACTCACTGCTTGTGTAATAAATGTATTTTGCCTTTGAGTAAGACTGTCCTACCATACTGATTCCATTTGTCATTGGCCTGTTGCTTGGCAACCAGGTCCCTCCTCATTCTCTATCTGCGGTTTAGAAGACGAGGATGTACCGCGAGTGGACGTGCTGTTAGTCCAGGTCCTGGCGAGACGCGATCGTGCTGCTTTCTCTCAGACACTATGAAGTCTGCCTCGTTCGCAACAAGGTCACTGTTTGGCAAGCAGCCTGAGAAATGGGGCTGGATAGCGGAGCCAGGCAGGATTTGCATTAATCTGATGTAATGCATAATGCATCACGCAATAAATCAGGCAAGGGAGAGCTGATGAAAGGGGGAATTTAGACCTGAGCAGCAATGTCTGCCTTCTTCTAGTCCAAGAGAGGGCTGTTAAGATAATTGTCTGGAGAGAGTCACTGCTTTTAAACAATTGCACATACTGCTGTGAAAAGTGTTTATGAGAATAACATTTTCTCATATGCTGCAAAGACACTCAAGTATGTGTGAGAATAAAAGGTAATTGCAGGATCACACTCAGATACTAAACTGATATGATTCCCAACATCACCAAGGGGATTGTGGGCGGGGCTTGAGATTTCTGTCCCGAGTGTTAGTGTGGATAGGCTGCCCCCATTCTCGCGACCTCTGACACCCCACTTTTGCATTCGTTCACAGGACAGCCGGCCAGCTCTCTCAAGTGCTCCTCTCAGTCCGCCTGCAACCGTGGTGGTCTCACCCGGGTGGGTTCTACTGAGCTGTGGGGCCAGCAGGGGGCGCCACTGTATTTGGGTCAATATTGTGTGAATCTGAACGCTGTCTTTAAAAATCACCCTATCACTGAAATCAAACCTGTAGAGCTGTAAAAAAAAGAATTTAATAACAGCAGGTGGTATGTGGAATATTTAGCGGAGCACTACTGTTTAAGTCCCAGAAGCCACATAGATGAATTTGATTAGAAAATATTATCTGTATGGAAGTGTTTTCTAATAAAATAAAATAAGAACAAAATCCACACACATATGAAGTTGCTTTAAAGGTCCAGTTGGTTCAAATCTGACCTGAAACAGGACATTAGCTTGGCCTTTAAACCTAACAGCGTGTTCCACTCCTTTTTCAGCTTCAGTCTGCTGAGTTTGCGTCCTCTATTGGTGAAAAGGTGCAATCAGGTGGGATTTATTTACTTAATAAACATGAGTAGGTGTATACAGACTATTATGTTCAGTGATTGGATGGAGCAAATTACATTTCTGTCCGTCTGTGACAGGTGTTTCAGGTTTGAATGACAAATGAACAGCATGTTACAATGATAAGATGTGAGATTAGAATGCAAGGTTGTAGGCATTGAGTCAACACTGGGGGGGCTATAATTATAATACGTATTGGAGGGGACATTGTGAGCACGTCTGAATATTTGGGGAGGGGATGTGTCCCCCCTAATATATATTATAATTACGGCCTTGTTGGAATGTCTTCTGCAACCAGCATCCTGTTTACAAACATGCCCAAGATGCTGATGCAGAAGCTGAATCTCTTTATCTAAATCAGTGTTTCCTAACCCTGTCCACAGACAGTCTGTGTTTTTTGCTCCCTCCCGGCTCCTTGCATATTTTGCTCCCTCTGGTAGTTGGGAGAGAGCAAAAGCATGGACTGTTTGCGGGTGCCCAAGGCCCACATTGGGAAACACTGATTTACAGTCAGATTTCATTTTATGTCAGACATTAATACTGAACCTGGTCACCAATGTCTTCTTTTCTTATCCCACAGGTGTACAGGTAAGGAATCAGTGCATAAAAACACTACTAACTGCTGATAAGTAGAGTCCTTTAGTAAAGCTGAACCATAGTGCTCATAGATTCTGCTTGAGAATCATTTATTAGGTTTTGTCATAGTACAGTGTGACCTGGATGTTGGTTGCTATGACCACTGTAAATAGGTGACACACGCAGGTCTAACACATACTGTGATTATATGTGATTAGATAAACCTTGCACATCAGCAACTATTGAAAATTATGAAGCGGATTAAAATGACCCATAAATTCAAACTGACACTGATGTAACACTACTGTATTATTATAAAATATCACCAGGTGTGTGTGCCTTATGCTCACTCCTGTTTCTGTCCTTGTTTTGGGGGGGTGTCTGTAGAATGGAGAGTCTCAGAGGGGCAGGATGGACAGAGGAAACTCTCTGCCCAGCATACTGGAACAGAAGGTGAGAACAGAGTGTTAGCGAACCAGTGGGTGGCGCAGTGTTTAAGGCACCAGTCAAGGTGTGCGTGAAGATGCATCAGTCAGAAGTGGGAAGAATGTAGAAGCTCTAAGCTGAAAAGTGGTCTTGATGGGATCTGAGCTTGTAGTTACGTACATGATTGTCTTTAGTAGCCAAGCAGAGAACATCCTGTGTTGTTGTGATTTTGTCATATTAGATTACAGAGACATATATGGTGAAGATCATTTTATCAGACTGCAGTAAAATCCAATTTTCTCTCAACAGATCTATCCTTATGAAATGCTGGTTGTGACCAACAGGGGGCGCAATAAGCTCCCACCTGGGGTTGACAGGACAAGACTGGAGGTAGTTTCTCTTCTACAAAACGACATAGGCCGTTCTTAGCGTGTTTATGATTTTCTGTGTGTGTAATTAGGTTATTCTGATTTTTAGTCATACTTGAAAATTTTATAGTCAGTGTAATACTACAATGTAACATTTATTGGAAACTTTGTTAAAATGAAACCTGCTTAAATTGCATGAAATCAATTTCTCATGGTTTAACATCAAAGCTGCATTTGTCTGGAGACAGCAAATGTGCACCAATCGCTTGTCTCCCCCAGAGACATCTGGCTCCTGAAGAGTTTGAGCAGCTGTTCGGAATGTGCATTGAGGTATTCGACCGGCTGTCACTCTGGAGACGGAACGACCTCAAGAAGAGAGTGTCACTCTTTTGACTGGAGTGGAGGCCTTGCTCCGCATAAGCACCTCCGACTCTTTCATGGGTTGGGGGGGGTGGGGGGGGGGGGGGTGGTCAAACAAATTTAAAACCCAATGCAAAATCAGGAAAAGGACAAGACATCTTGGGTGGCACTGCCCTATTCAACAAGTCATAACACATTAATAACTAAATATGGGTTTGTAAAAGACATTTATATAGAAAACAACCATATTCAGTCGTATCAAAGGTCAACGCCACTGTATCTTGTTTCTTGTCTGTGTAACTGCAGCTGCCAGGCGTATGGGAATAATAGGTCCTTGTCGTGCTGAGAGCGCTTTACGTCTGTCCAGCCCTCCCTGGCAGAGCATGTAGGAGTAATGAAAGGTGAGGGGACCAGCCAAGAAGCCTCAATTTAAAGGTTTCACAAACCAACTACAATGCTTGGTCCGCAGCCAGTGCATCTCATCCGGAGTAATACCACTGTAAGGGAATGGGCGATGAAAACGCTGGACCTCTCCTTTAAAATATCTAGCTTAGCGACTCTGTGTTAGTGCATCGGCTGAAACGTATAAAGCACTATACTATAGTTCTGTTGTTAACACCTGAAATCTCAGCGCAGTCACACGCGTCTTTACCTTTAACAACTTCATGCAGGTGGATTCATATCTTGGTGGAATACTTTCTGTTTGTTCATCTGATTTTGATGTGTATTTACATCTACAAAATAGACTAAAAAATGTTTATTTAAAATAACATCAGTTAACATTGATCGATGATTAAACTTGTTTTTGACGTGAGGTGATGTCCCTGTGATTTTTTTCCCCCGGCTTCACAATACTTGAGATTCTTTACAGTTAAAGGAGAATATAGTTTTTTACGAAGACCATTATTCCAATTAAGAAATGCAATATACTGTATGCAGCGTTCATGGCAGCAACACACTGTTCTTTGAAGGCTGTTATTCCAGCTGAAAAGCCACGTATTTCACTTAAATCGACAGTCGACTTGAAAAATAAGTCATTGTAGTAAAGCTCCTCTGAAATATAAATATATCAGAAATGCACCTCAAAATACATTTCACCCTATTTTTCTCATGTATGTATATGTAGAAATTTGTTCTATATGCGGCGCATGTATTTCGAGTAATGTGCAAGTATTTAAAATGTTGCACTTAATAATTTTGCTGCAAGAGCGCCAGGGAGGGAGGGAGGTAACGAGTGAGAGAGAGAGAGAGAGAGAGAGAGGGAGTGTGTGTGTTCCTGGAGTATTTCGGAGTAATTACGGTGCCCGGTTCATTCAGAAAGTGGAAAGTCTGTGGATACAGAGACGGCATTTGTACATTCAGACTATGACATATGAAGTGATACAGTCAGCGCGCTTATAGACCACCGAGCGCCACTGGAAATGGACAAACCGGAAGGTATGCACCATCCCATTTCAGTCTATGTCAAATACAGTATTTACTTGCTGAAGTTGTTACTTGCGGTTTAAGATGCTTAATAGGTAAAACACAGCACTCATTTTAAAAAAAAAAGGAAGTGAACATGAGGCTACTCCTGTGTGAATAACGGTACAGTCTCAATCGGCGCTTTGCCGAATTATTCACACACATTAACTGTTACTTCAGTTACAGTTAGCACACCCCTTATTTATATGCACTCATTTACAAAGTTATAGTGTCTGCCGAACTTTTTTTAGAGTATCCGTTAGTCATTAAAATTTGCATTTGTAAATTACAGTTGCATAAATGTGAATCATTAAACTAGATTGGTGAAGAGTGTAATTAATCTAAGTGTCTGAACTGCCTGTAAGCATTCAACGATCACCAATAAGGTTTAGGACCCCCCTCCCTTTAATTTAGTAATTAATTAGCCTATTATTAGCAGGCCAATATAACATTAATAACTTGCACAAGTTGTTTACCTGTTAATTTTGTTAATATTGCATGGCTTTTAGTATATGGTACCAAAAACACAGCAACGGTATTACAGACCTAAGTGTGTAAAGGCATATATTTAATATTTAAGCCTAAATACAATACAATACAATACTCGTAAATTACGACTCCACAGTAAAAAAGCTCTGAGTAACTACGACTATCGTGACACCTATAAAACCAATATATCTATATTGCGTTAACTCAGTGATGAAATTATTCCTGCAAGCAGAAGATAACGTGTAAACTGGCGTTTATTATTATGAATGGGGTGTTATATCTGCCTAAATTCACTACTTTCACACTGCCACACTTAGGTCTGTATCAGTGTGAAAGTTTTTTTTCCTGGCTTGGAAATATGTCAGTCGGTTTAAACGGGGTCTGGACGGTGTAATAGCACTGCTATATTTGCACAGCTGCGGCTGATGAAGGAATATAGCGTTAAACAAAGTAAAACAAAAGTAAGTTATGCAGCACCTAGCAGGGGAGTCGGTTCCATCCTCGATGATTTCGGTCAGTGATAATTCTGAGCTCCGCTCTCATTTTCCGTGTTTGTCTACGTCACCTCAGTCAGACCCCGCCCATTCTGCTTACTCGCGGCGTCTGATGGACAGGTAAACACCGCACTACGTCTGGCTGTTAGTAACCCACCCTGAAGTATAGCAGCAATAAGTGTGACACTCTGTGTCACTTATTCACTCTCTATAGGGATGTTTTGCAGCTTGATGAAATAGACAGATGAAAATAATACATCCATCTTCTACAGTATCTCCTTATGCTGGTCAGGGTCACGGGGAGATGAAAATAATGGCAATTAAAATCTATTCTAAAATAGGATTTAGTTACTCAAAACATATCTCAAATCAACCCTCAAAATCTGTTTCTATAAATTATAGCATATATCATATTGCTCTTTGTGTATTTGATAGTTTAAGCTTGACCCACATCCTGAGGGGGAGCTGAAATCAGACCTCTTAACTCCTAACTCCCTGTGACTCACCAAGTAAACGTGTTGCTCATCACCATTTCAACTTTCATCAGTGGACCAGCTGGCAGGCTTTTAAAAGAATTCCTGACCCAGAGAGACATGTCCTATCAGTGGGACGCTTCCCAAATCAGAGTTCTGTGGGCCCTTGTAGGATTATGGTGCCCAAAAACAGATCCCTGGTCAGTCTCAGGTCCTGAGCAGGCAGGTCCCAAACCATGGAGTCCACCGATTATCACTGATAGCTTGAAAGTCTTCTTTACTAAACACTGAGTCCATGATATTAGTTTAGTCATCCATCGAGGACGATTAGTTACAAGTACCATTCAGGGAATTCAATTCAGAGAAATTTCTTTATTGAATATCCATTTTTACCAAGTAATTTACAGTCTAAAGCCGGCATGCGTTTTCTATTCAGATGTGAGAAATTATGCAACAGGCCTGCATCATAACTGCGAAAATGTGAAAACGTTCCCAGCATCTTTGATGGTAGGTTCTGTAATGAGCCTGCTCACAGCTGTATGCCCCCCCCCCAAAAAACCTCTTTTATAAACTAAAGGAGAATAATACTTGGGGGTCAGCAGGGGTCTCTCACGTCATTTGTCATCAGATATTTTCAGAAAACAAACTGTTAGGTTTTACGAAAACACAAAAACCAAAAGGAGGCCCTAAATAAAGCCAGCACAAAACCCAATAACCCTCCCCATCTGGAGGAGTGCCCCCCCAAAAAAACCATGTGTCTGGATGGACGGCTTTCTCCGGAATTTTGGCAGGCTGTGATTGGTCAGTATTTGCTCAGGTCACCACTCTAGGTATAAAGGTGCCATCAGTTTATTTTCTGCTTGGAATGGGGTAAACTCAGAAGCTCTGCGGTCTGTAATATTCTACAGCTCTCTATTTTTATCACCAACAAGCCATGTAGCAAGTCCAAAAAGGCCCGCATCTGTGTAGCATTGAAAAGTGCAAACTTCTATATGCCTAGTAAGGTGCCTATGGCTTGGGGGTGAGTAGAGAGCTTTCAGATAGGGTGACCAGATAATCCATGTCAGGGAGGACACTCTGAGCTAGGACAGGAATTGTAAATTACCATTTCAATTAAAAGGACCTGGATTTCACTTGAGCACTGAGTTCTTGCTGTGTGCTGATTGGTCAGTCTCCTATAATCATGCACGTGTCACTCATGCTAATGTGAAACAGCTGGATGAGTCTTTCAGTCAAGGAAACAAACCAGTCAAAGCACAAGAAGAGTTTAACTATTTAGCCGAGCACAGGAGCCTTTCAGTTTGAAATTAGTTTGTAAAACCCGAAGTAGCTCAAAGTGTCCTCCCTGACATGGATTATCTGGGCACCGTAGCTGTCAGAGGCTTTTGCTGTAGGGTCAAGAATGAAAAGGGAGTGGACAAAAAAATGCGGGGTGGAGTCACAGGCAGTGGAGCTGACGCTCTGTGGATGGAGTAGTTAGTCCCTGATAGTAGCATTAGCTGCAGACAAATTCAATGCCCAAAGGGATGCTGGGATACTGCTGAAGGGTGTAGCCAACACGCCTCACACTCGCTCGGTAACAACAACTGACGTCTGGCATGCCGACAGTTGCTATAGCCACAGCCGAACAACTGGGCCAGTATAGCATGGGGAAAGGTCAGAGGTCAAGGGCGGCGGCGATCTTAATATCTTCCACAGCATAGGGTTTGCTAAGAGGCACGTGCAGCTTCAGTACAGAAACCCGTTTGAATGAGTGACAAGGTGAAGCTATTTTACTGCTGTGAAAGTATCTAAAACAATGTTTTTATTAATTTTTGTAATTTCTGTAATTTCTAAAATAGTTCCTTGGAATACGGCTTTCAGGTAATAATTATGAATCCCAGCTGGGTTTTTCTCTCCCTGCTAATGTTCCTTTTTCCATTTTTTGTCAGTGCGAACACACACTCAGCTTGCTTTCCATCACGCCGCCCAATAAAAACTTAGCTGCTGGGTTCGTTTCTAACTGGGATCAGAACAATAACATTCCCTCAGGCCCGGTTGTCCAAACCTTCACCCAGCCATCTGCCTGGAGTGAGCACACTGTCAGCTTGCAGGCACTGTGCTCTGCGAGACTTTCTCTGTCTTCTGTGTGAGCCGTCTGCTGCGAAGTTCTTCCTCTGTC